TCCCGCAGAGAGCTAGTATGTTAGGAGACTTCTCAACGATGTACGATTCCACACTGCAGAACTTGGTTCGAATGCCACGGATGTTGGAAAATGAAATGTTAAAGGGTTTAGGCAATTTTTTGGGAGCTGGTTTAAGTTTACTTTTTTGATTGTTTGGAGTCATGTTGAGTCATGTTGAGTAATGGAAGTGAAAGGCCAAAAGTAATAGTAGCTGACGGTCATCATCATATGTGATATGGACTGAAAGAAGCTGGCGCAGACTGCAACATAATGTGGTCTCGGGGTTGCCCACCGGTGGTGCGTGCAGGGACACTCTTCCATGCACAACATGGCACTACAAGCACCCCGATAATATGCAACTGTTGCTCAGAGCAGTCACTCAAGATGTTACGCAAGTGTTAGGGCTCCTAGCTACCAATCGAGAACAGCAAACAGAACTGTCAACCCAGTAACCTCAGTATGAAGAATTGTTGCCACACTATGCACACATCACAAGGGATTCACGGCAGCATTAATACAGAGGTCAGAGAAAAGGAAAACATCCGGGAACCCCTTTCTAAACAGGAAACAAATGACGAGCCTCTATAGCTGTTCAAGAGAAGGGGGAGGAGTACTGACCGGTCGATAGGAAAGTCTATCTACTTCTATTATACGCACGCACACACACACACACACACACACACCCACACACACACACACACAGAGGATAAATGTCTATATATAAAGCTTCAACTTAGTTTAAATGCCAACATGCATTTCAGCGGGAGGTTAGAATGACAAAACCACTTCATGGGCGTTACTAGCGGTGGAATTAAATTTCTCACTTGACCGATTTGAACAACAACTCTAGCATCGCGACATCGCACGCCCCCCAAAATATTCAACTGTCAATAAATAGCCTAATTTAAAAAAATATCTTTCGCTTGACACATATTTCGTGTCATTATAAGAAAATTGAGCCCTGAAGATGATACTTTGAAATTGTCGAAAGTACTTGGCATATATCTTCCATCTGACAACTCGAAGGATCTTATTATTCATGGAATTGATAGTAAATTAATGTTTCATTAAGTCCTATTATCGAAGTTATTTCGTCATTAATCACATTAACATTGCTATTTAATTCTTTGTAGAAATTGTTTCTTTATGATATATAATGTTCTTCTCTTATGGTTGGTTGCTCGTATCCCAGGATGCCTATCTACTAGGGCGGCTAGTCAATCTCTGTTGCAGAACACCTGTGGTTAATACCGCAACTATGTTGAGCGAACCTTAGTTACAGTTTTGGGAGTGGCCGCATTATCTAGCTTGATCAACAGCTTAAACAAGCCCAGCACGCTCAAACCTTCGGTCATGATGATTTGAGACTTCCTGATAGCACAACCATCGATAGCGCTCAAATAGCTCCGTTTACTCAATTTAACTGACAAGGCTTTGGACAGCCCGTGTTATGGTTTTCAGGCACTTTCCAAAGGGTACCGAAAGGCTAGGATCGCAAGACCGATAATATCAAGAAGTCGTCTACCTGACAGATCGACCATAGTGAGGGTTTAACTCGAGTCTCATGGTCGGGAAGTGAATATCACCACTTGAAAACGCGCGCGCGCACACACACACACATATATATATTGAGAACATTCAGAACCCTTTTATTTATACAACAGTTTCGGATATATATATATGAGGAATGTTAATGCCAAAGTGGAAAAACTTTTCATCGGACTAAAGTGGTAGTTACGTTGATGTAACTGTACATGCGCACATAGGTGAGGCTACGCATAAATTTTAAAATTTTAAATTCATTTTTTAAAATATATCTTTGGGTAGAAAATCTAGCTTAATTTAATTTATATTTTTTTAATATATTTTCTTCATTTTTGTTATTACGCTTCCCACGTTTATAGATATGGATATTGTGGACATCCGAACGTGGACCCCGATCGTGGGGAACCGATCGCATTGAAACATATAACTGAGTCACGACATAGTGTTGATAATGTCCCATTCGCTGTACATGCACACACTCACATATACACATAAACACGCATATATATATATATATATATATATATATATATATATATATATATATATATATATATTGGACATTGAAGTCAACAGTCAGAGGCGACAGTTGTTTCATGCTTTTACATAATCGTCAGTCCATACTAAACGCAAACGTCAGCCATATGGGTTTAACGATTGCGGTTAAGCATGAAACAGAATGTCGCCTCTGGGTGTTCATTTCAATGTCCACTTTTATATTTGCATATGCTCTATCCCTGATGTTGGCCACTTTAATCCATAAATATATCATGCCTTAAAACTATATTATATCATATATATATATATATATATATATATATATATATATATATATATATATATATATATATATATTAATTCACGTTTCATTAAATAATATAGGCAAGTTTTGTCTATTTATTTTAAGTAAGTTCCTTTCATATTGTCTGATAAGCTTAATCACTTATCGTTGAAAGGCGAAAGGAAAACACCATATTGATACATGATTCTTCCAGTTGCTAAGGGCATTTTGTTTTGTTATTATTAGTTACTTTGTTTAATAAATTCATTTCGTTTTTGTCTTGAAAAAGTCCACATTGGACGAAACGCGTCGGCTACTATTACAGTTTTCCTATTGTCTTTTACATTTATAAAAATTAAAATAAAGAGCAAAGTTATATTTGGATTTTGCACATATGACTTATAATCGTTAATATATGTGTATATTTGTGACATCTTTCATACAATGATAATAGTAATATTAAGCGTTTCTTTATAAAGAAACATTCGGTATTCATTGGCCGAACAGCCACTACTCCTGGAAAATTTATAAAATCTTTCTCTTAAAACAATTCCTCAGGAAAATAGGTTTTTCAAGTGCAGAAGCTGTTACCATTCTTTCCAGTATGGGAGTTTCCTTCCTACCCTTTTGTTTGAAGTAGTGTGGAATGTCAACATCTTGAGTATATTATTATTTTCTCTTCGAGTTACATGTGGTATCCATTTTAGCTGTTTCTGCTGTTGATAGTGAAGTGTTTTCTGTGATTTGGTACAGTTCTTTGTTTGTGATTATGTAGCGCCAGTCCACAAAGCTTGAAGAAGTGTGGTCTTCACCAAAATCCACAATCTTCTCTCGCTCAAAGTCATTTAAATATTGTAGACAGATTAAAAATTTCCAAGGGCTTACGGCCATATCACGTTGAAACACCTATTCTCGTACGATCACTGAAGTCTCGCCTTTATATTTCTTTCCGCAGCTGCACGGGATAGCGTACATGTGGGAGAGATATCTGCGAAGTGTCGTTCAGCTTTGAAGGTTGTCCTGATGTTATATGGACCGCAGATCCTTTGTATTTTTTCTGATAGCCCCTTCACATAGTGCAAGCAAACTTTTTTCTGAGTATTGTTGTCCTCCTCCTATCGCCCGCCTGTCCCAGTTTTTTGGGGGTGCTGCCATGTACCCAGAGTAGTTGTTACGTTGAGGGTACTACTTATACTGACCAATTCTTTATCTAATGTCTCTGGATCGCCACTCATGACTTTTACTCGGTGTTGTAAGCAGCGGACGATCCTTTCTTCACGCTGTATGGATAGTGGGGGTTGAAATTGAGGTACTGTCCGGTTTACAGTATACGGATGTCTTGAACCCATGATTTGTTCGAGATATTAGAACATCCAGGAATGGGAGTGTGTTGTTAATCTTTCTCCATCGTGAACTGCATCAAAGGTCTTATTGAGTTCACATGGTCCAGTAGAACCTGAACATCTTCCTGGTGTGGCCAGAGTATGAAGGTGTCATCTACATACCTTAAGCGTAGAGTTGTCTTTAGAGATATGGATTCTAATGCCATTTCCTGAAAGTATTCCGTGTATATATTCGCCATTGATGAAGACATTAGCTTTATAATACCTAGACATTCATACACAGATGTCCTCAAGGACACATGGCGCAGTGGATAAAGGCGTTAGTTAGATCCAGTGACAGGACCCAAAGAGTGTCATTTCAATACCTGGTTAAGGCGGTGGAGAATTTGGAGAGGGGAATTAACAGGAAATAATTGATAACAGACATCCATTAGACACGTGGAACTAGAACAGTCTACCCCGGTGATCCAAATAAAGGGATCATTTCGACATTCCAACTACCGAAATGTTGTAATAAATATGGCGACAAAGATGAGGACAATAGTCTGAATAATATAAATAGTATATTTCTGAACGGGTTTGGTGCCATGCATAACATAAAAGTTTCGATCTATCAAACTCAATGGAGTATTTAATGTCAACAATTTTTTTTTTTATTGCTGGTAATATTTTTTTCAAAAAATTTATTACTGGTAATATTTTTTTTCTTCAAAAATCTATTGCGCGTAATATTATTTTTCAAAAATGTATAGCTGGTAATAATGTATTTCTGATAATAATTTTTTACAAAAAAGTATTTCTGATATTAAAACCTATTTTTACATTTTCATAGTGTCTTGATCCCAGTTTAAGGGTTAACTATTTGCCCATAGCTGGGACCCTAACAGGTGCTACCACCCCGGGTCAGGGTAGACCTTGGGAACGCCAGCAATTAAGATGTGGTTCCATGCTCCTCAAAGCCTCCTGATCAGAGGCCTTACTGCTGGATGTAGTTTATCGTCTTACCCAGGACATTGATGTAGTTTATCGTCATAACCAGAACAGTTCGATTTGACCAGGATATTTAAGAACATGAATCGGATAAATATCTGCTATAGTTTATTGTTTTGCTATAATGATTTTCGGGTTTTCATACTGAAGTACTCTTATACAAGAAAACTGTTAGAAAACGACATATCGTTGTGAGTAATAACACTTATATATATATATATCACGCCCACAAAAAATGACTTAATAGCTGTGAAAAAAGCACCCCTTAAAAAATTACAAAGTCAAAACCTCTTCCCCGACAATTGCCCCTACAAAAGCGATACACTAGTTGTCGCACTCTGATGATCACAAACGTTTACATACAGGCAATTGCTTTTTTAGCCATAAGCGTGTCATTTTTTTCTTTTCCACACTTTTTTTTTCAAATTTTCATTAACGCATTCATTGTTTTTCTTGCCCCCTCTCTTCTTCCGACTTCCACTCTTTCTTCTCAATATTCCCTTTTTCCCCATTCTTTCTACTCCCACTCTCTTTCTTCCACCTTGTCTTCTTTTTACTTCAGCTCACCTTTTTACTTGTTTCCACTCTCTCCATTCTTCATATTCTTGCTCTTTCTTCTTCCCACTCTACAAGCGTATCATTTTTTTCTTTTCTACCTACTTTTTCTTCCTTTTCTACACTTTTCCACTTTTCAACCTCTGTCCTTCTTACACATTCCTCTTCGATCTTCTTCCTACCTTCAATCTCCCTTCCTGTATTTTCTCCCTCTCTATTCTTCTAATGACTACACTCCATTCTCTCTACTCCACTTCCTTCTCCTACTTCCAGTTTCCCTGCCATCTATTTCCACTCTCTCCATTGTTTTTACTCTCATTCTCTCGTATTCCCTCTTCCGCTTATTTTTATTCCCACTTTCGTTCCTTACTTTACTTTTCCACTCTTTACTTACATTCTCTGTTCTCCCTACTCCAATTCTCCATTCTCCCACTCTCTCTTCTTCCACTCTCTATATACCCTACTCCCACTCTCCATTCTTTCTAATTACACTTTCTCTTCTTCCCATTTCCGCTCACACTTCTTCCCACTTCTGATCTACATTCTTCCCACTTCCGTTCTCAATTATTTGTATTTACACAATTTCTTTTCACCACTACCAACACTTTCCGTTCTTTATACGCCCATTTTCTATCCCCACTCTGAAACCATTTTTCTTCCCTTTTGTATTTACTAAACTTCTTTTTTCTTTTCTTTTTCAACTTTTTTCTTTGGTTTCCTTTCATCTCCACTCCCTTTATTTAGATCGTTCTTCTCCCTTTTCTCTCCTTTTCTGAACTTCACATCTTGTATCTTTTTATTTTTTATTTTTATGCTCTCTTTATTCTTTCTCATTTCTTTATCCCTCCATTCTCTCTATCTCTCTCTCTCTCTCTCTCTCTCTATATATATATATATATATATATATATATATATATATATATATATATATTTTCGCCTTTTCTTTTTACCAATTTCTTTACATCAGTGGTTCCCAAACTGTTTTTTCTCTGAGCCTCATTTTCGGAATGATGATATGATAAAAAGCACATTACAAAACAAAAAAAAAAAAAAAAAAAAAAAAGAGAGAGGGTTAAATGCAGATAACAGCAGATTCGAAGTCGGAACATTATCGTTGTTAACTCTCTTCTCCAATTTGCAGACCTTAATTACTCTATTCTTAATAGTTGATAAAATGCAAAAATATCACAATGATGCAATTAGTCAATAATTATTTATAAGTATTTATACTGGGGCTCACGCAATTACAAGTAATCCATAATAATATTTTAAATTTTGAAATCGTATATATTTTTGGCTTATGAATTTTTTGAAACTGTTTCTACATTGATTGTTTTTCAGTCATCCCGCCTCACCTGCTATCCTTTTCCACCGCATCTATGAGGCGCACGGCACAGTTTGGAAACCACTGCTCTAGACAATCTTATTAACCGTCTAAGGATTGTCATCATTACTTTCTGAAGCGCCATTCCTTTAATCCTAACTATTTTTCCTTTTTATTTTTAAAATATATTCAAATTTGTTATAAGTAATTTATATAAGTAATAGCTGACCGCTCCTATCCGAATATGCTTGTCCACTAGGGAGGCTATCCAATCCTTGTTGCAGACATTGTTCAACACGCACAGAGCCCAACTGTGGTTTATATTGCAACTAGCGGACCTTAGTTGTTGGGAGAGACCACATTATCAGCAGTATGAACAAAGGCAGTACGCTCAAACCCTCGGTCACGATGACTTACGACTTCGTGCTAGCACAACTATGGCTCCCAAATAGAACACAATATCCACATTCACAGATTATACAGATATTAGCCGAAATTACATTAGTGCTCCATCAAGATAATAATAAGTAAAAACTTAAAATCCTGGAAGCTCTTTATAAACGCCCAAAATAAATAAAGTCAACTACGAATTAAAAATAAATGAACCGGCCTTTTTCCTGCATCTTTAGCGATGTCACCCCCTACCTCGAGTTCCACTTGAGGTCGGGGGTGACTTTAAAGCCCAATAATCTCTCAAGGCACGTAGCCTCCTTGAGGTGGCATCCATTAATCGTGACTGGTGGCAATTCGAGGTCCGAGCGATGATAATGGAATGTGACTAGTTTAGTTTTCGAGGCATTGAATGTAACCAGATATTTTCCCCTCACTGAGAAGTTAGAGCAAGATCGGATGAGAGATCAGTCACCAATCTCTGATCATCAGCAGTTTTTAAGGTACCCTCTTATATCTTTTCATCATCGACATAGATATTCACAAATGATTTCAGTATAGTTTTATGAAGGATCATTTAATTAAAGTAAAAAAGAAGATTGGTCCGAGAAATGATCCATGCGAGACGCATGCGTTGATTGAAAGTGCTCCGGAGAACTGGCCACTAAAAGTTACATACAGGAACCTACCCGTTGAGAAGGACTTTATAACTGAGAAGAACCGTCCAGTGATTCAATAACTGGAGAAATTGTGCAACAAAACTTAGTGTCACACCTTGACAAAGGCTTTCTAAATATCTTAAGCTATGACCCTTGAGGTGTATTTGTTGTCCAGAGCCTCACTTATTCTGTGAGTAATGCTAGTTAGGATATCAGTAGTGGATCCAGCCGATCTAAACCCATACTACTTATCACTCCAGAGATTGTTTTAGGTGCTCAACGATCGTCTTATTGATGATAGTCTCAAAAAGCTTGCTAATGATACCGAGCAGACTGATGGGTCTATACTGAGCAGGGAAAGACCTCTCGCCCGCATTTTTGAATACCGGGATTAGATATAGACTAATAAATATATATTGTCATTCTCTCTACTATACATGCATATATATGACTAATATATTAGAATGTGCAAAAATTACAATTCATAAGTCTCAAGTGATACATTTTATAAAAATAGATAGTCTATTTAAAAACGTTTTAAATATAAGCATAAAATGAACATCAATATAAAATAAACAAATAAAAATATATTTTAAAAAAATCATATTTAAAAATATCTCCAGGGAAGTGGTTCTTTTCTGAACTCCTTGTCACATAATAAATGTAAATCTGTTAGTTATTAATGCTGCATAAGTGCTTTAGTTTACTTTATGTGTTAACCGTCTTTTTTTTTTATTCCATTCGCTGAAGTTTCAGTGTTTACAACACGGGCGATGCAAAAAGAAAGAAAAGGCCGCCAGTGCAAATGCTTTTCACGCTAATCAGACGTATTTTAGGGAAAATATTGCTCATGTCATAGTGACAAACAGAAGCAAAAATTCGTTTCATAGTGTGCTTTCGATAATACGGCTATGAGGATCAACGTTGTCTCATGTTTTTTATTTTGTCACAAGCCACACATAGCTTACAATATATTACAAAACCCTAAGAGTACTGAACTGTTACGCGATATCAGTCCTCCTATATGGCAATTAATACCATACAATCTCCTCGCTGATGAAGAAAAAACTTGGAGCAGCAGAAATATGGTTCTATAGGAGGGTAGTGAGAATACCATAGACAGAACATGTGGGCAACGACGAGGTTTAAAAAAAATGGAAACGTTAAGGGAACTTATATTTAACATCAAGAAGAGACTGTTGAAATTTCTATGCCACATAATGAGGAAAGAGGGCTTGGAAAATTTGATACTCCCAGAACAAACTGAAGGTAAGAGAGACAAAGGAAAACGGTGCATAACCTACCTAGCGAGCTTGAATAAATGGATGGGCAGAAGAGGTTCTGTGAGAGATAACAAAAAGACAGAATTTATTAAGAGCTACAAAGGACAAGAAATTGTGGAGAGCCATGATCGCTCATATCCTGAAAGGATACGACACCTTGAAGAAGAAGAAAAAAGAATATCGTACTGTAAGCAATTTACAGTTTTTTTGTATGCAAAGCTAAACTTAGTAAATATATAAACGTGTGGCTCGCTACTCTGTCACTATTTCCATGGAAAGTGATCAGACCTTATTTCCGCCAGTTTTAACCTCCACGACTAAGACACGCTTCGTAGTCCATTTGTGTCTTGTATGCATATTCTCACGAAACGCTGCTTTGTGAAACCGATTCCCAAGCGGATGGTTACTTCCCGGATCACGACGATCTTAACCTGTTAACGAAACAAAAAGAAGTGTGCAATTCAACATTTATTCAGAAATGTACGAATATGATACAGTTTTTAAAGAATGTATTTGGGTGTTATTGGACATTGTTCCGGTATCTGAAGGTGGTATGTCGGTGGGCCACAATAAACAACACGAAGATTTGGTTGGAAAATGAATGTCCAATTTTTATTGACGCACCTAGATACAATATGTAAAGGTACAGAAAATGGTTGACTTCAAGTCAGCATGACGTTGAGTGAGGGTAGCTATTTCTCCCTTTTGTTGCGTTCGCTGTTAGACACATCCAAACTTAATGAGAAGAGAGCGATCATCTCCTTTCCGGAAGTGGGGTCATAAAATTTAAACGTCATCGGAAACCCTTCTCGGTTTCTCTTTTGCATTATGGGAAAATGAAATTGTTTATTTTTATTTTCATTCTCCCGCATATTAAGACAAAAAACGGATTTGATTTATGACTAAACTTAATATATTACCGAGCTGCTAGATTACGGGGGGGGGGGTTGATTCAGATCGCGAAATAAACTCAATTGTTAAAGTCTAGCTTATTCAGTTAATCACCAGTTGAAATTTTCTCTTGTTCTTGTGTTCTTGCTCAGACGAATTAACTCGGCTTGTTTATGAAAATGAAAAGAAACCAGGTTCGCGACTGTCATCCGACTGGCAGCTTGATAACATTGTAAACTAAGAAGTCTGGTATTCGGTTGCTGTAAACAATAAGGAAATTTAGTATCTCTCTCTCTCACTCACACACACACACACACACACACACACACACACACGGAATTGAGTTATTAAAGGTGAAACTATAATTTTTCGTTTCCGCTTTTTAGATTGGTTGTACTGATGTAAACATGAATTGGTAAATTATACAGAAAGAAAAAAGATTATTGAAAAATTATTCAGAAATAACTTCAAAAATTACATAGGGCAATTTTAAAATACATTTTGGGATCAGGTTTAAAATATTCCTCTGGTCATTCAAGTGTATGGTTTTAGGTGTCTCAATCCCCTTTGAGCCGCGAGAGACGCGCTGCTGGCTTCTCCGTCGCGCAGAGATGTCCCCCAAAATCAATGCACCGGAATGGCGTCATCAAACTCTCTTTGATTCACTGCCATCGTCACCACCGCCGCCAGTGAGGAGAGAAAAGGAATAAGGAGAGAGAGAGAGAGAGGATGATAATCCCGATATTCAGATGCGAGCAGGTGTCGATAACAATATATTTCTATGACTTTAAACGTTATATTTAGTGGATACTCATATTTGAGTAGGCAGTCAGTTTAATTATTAAACGAAAATATACATTTATTTATTTTCGTCTACGGACCTGAATGTTCAAGAAATCTTATTAAAGGAAAATTTGCACTCTCCGGCAATATTTTCTTTTTTTGGTAAAGACGTGCCGGACTAATGTTAGCTTCCTCTACCTTGAGGG